TCTCCAGAAAGTGGGCATAGAGGGAATCTACCTCAACATAATAAAAGCCATATATGACAAACCCACAGCAGACATCATTCTCAATGGTGAAAAACTGAAACCATTTCCTGTAAGGTCAGGCACAAGACAAGGATGTACACTCTTGCCACTATTATCTAACATAGTTTTGGAAGTCGTAGCCATGGAAATCAGAGAAGAAAAAGAAATAAAAGGAATACAAATTGAAAAGAAGTAAAACTGTCACTCTTTTCAGATGACATGATACTATATGTAGGCAATCCTAAATATGCCACCAGAGAACTACTAGAGCTAATCAGTGAATTTGGTAATGTTGCAGGATACAAAATTAATGCACAGAAATCTGTTGCATTCCTATACACTAACAACGAAAGGTCAGAAAGAGAAATTAAAGGAACAATGCCATTCACCATTGGAATAAAAAAAATACCTAGGAATAAACCTACCTAAGGAGGTAAAAGCCCTCTACTCAGAAAACTTCAAGACACTGATGAAAGAAATCAAAGATGACACAAACAAATGGAGAGATATACCATGTTCTTGGATTGGAAGAATCGATATTGTGAAAATTACTGTGCTACCCAAAGCAATCTACAGTTTCAGTGCAATCCCTATCCAATTACCAATGACGTTTTTTTACAGAAGTAGAACAAAAAATCTTAAGATTTGTATGTAGACACAAAAGGCCCTGAATAGCCAAAGCAATCTTGAGGGAAAAAGCAGGGCTGGAGGAATCAGACTCTCTGACTTCAGACTATACTACAAAGCTACAGTAATCAAGACAATATGGTACTGGCACAAAAACAGAAATATAGATCAGTGGAACAGGATAGAAAGCCCAGAGATAAACCCACACACCTATGGTCAGCTAATCTATGACAAAGGAGGCAAGGATATGCAATGGAGAAAAGACAGTCTCTTCAATAAGTGGTGCTCGGAAAACTGGACAGTTACATGTAAAAGAATGAAATTAGAACACTCCCTAACACCATACACCAAAATAAAATCAAAATGGATTAAAGACCAAAATGTAAGACTGAACACTGTAAAACTCTTAGAGGAAACGTAGGAAGAACACTCTTTGACATAAATCACAGCAAGATCTTTTTGACCCACCTCCTAGAGTAATGGAAATAAAAACAAAAACAAACAAACAGGGCCTAATGAAACTTAAAAGTTTTTGTGCAGCAAAGGAAGCTATAAAGAAGACGAAAAGACAACCCTCAGAATGGGAGAAAATATTTGCAAAGGAATCAATGGACAAAGGGTTAATCTCCCAAATATATGAACAGCTCATGCAGCTCAATATTAAAAAAACAAAACAAAACAAAACAACCCAATCAATAAATGGGCAGAGACCTAAATAGACATTTCCCCAAAGAAGACATACAGGTGGCCAAGAAACACATGAAAAGCTGCTCAACATCACTAACTATTAGAGAAATGGAAATCAAAACTACAGTGAGTTATCACCTCAGACCAGTTAGAATGGACATCAGCTGAAAATCTACAAACAACAAATGCTGGAGAGGGTGTGGAGAAAAGGGAACCCTCTTGCACTGTTTGTGGGAATGTGAATTGATAGAGCCACTATGGAGAACAGTATGGAGGTTCCTTAAAAAACTAAAAATAGAATTATCATATGACCCAGCAATCCCACTACTGGGCACATACCCAGAGAAAACCATAATTCCAAAAGGCACATGCCCCCCAATGTTCATTGCAGCACTATTTACAATAGCCAGGTCATGGAATCAACCTAAATGCCCCTTGACAGACAAATGGATAAAGAAGAGGTGGTACATATATACAGTGGAATATTACTCAGCCATAAAAAAGAATGAAATTGGGTCATTTATAGAGATGTGGATGGACATAGTGTCATACAGAGAGAAGTAAGTCAGAAGGAGAAAAACATCTATCGTATATTAATGCGTATGTGTGGAACCTAGAAAAATGGTACGTATGAAGTAGTTTCCAAGGCAGAAATAGAGACACTGATGTAGAGAACAAACGTATGGACACCAAGGGGGGGAAATTGGGGGGCGCGGGTGGTGGTGGGATGAATTGGGAGATTGCCCTTGAGATATATACACTAATATGTATAAAATAAATAATAAGAACCTGCTGTATAAAAAATAATTTAAAAAATTAAAAAAAAAGAATTGGTTTTGGGAGAGCCATCTATTACAATATATACAGACTGAGACTGCATGTACCATCTGATGTTAACTTCAAGTGCCCCTCCCAGCCCCTTCATCTGTCACCTGAAAATCTGTGTGCATTCTTCTGGAGCGTTTTTTTGTTTGTTTGTTTGTTTTTGACTGCACCTCGAAGCTTGCAGGATATTAGGGTTTGAACCTGGGCTACTGCAGTGAAAGCGGTGAATCCTAACCACTGGACCACTAGGGAATTCCCGTGTTCTGAAGTTTTGATGCATCTATAGACATTTGTTCTGCACCTTTCTGGAAATGTGGAGCATAGAATGGTAGTAACAAGCACAGCAGAGTGGAAGAATTCCAGGCTGATGCTGTAGTTCTAGTCCTGCCCCTAGAGAGAAACCTATGAGTAAGGCTCCTACTTGCTCAGGCAGCTGAGCATCAGAGCAGGGCATGCAGTGTGAGGGGAAGGCTGCCAGGCTATCTCCCAAGGGGCCACCTAGCATGGCAGGTCTTACCAGGGTGAATCTCCCAAGAGCAAGTTTCAGGCTCACAGCTTGTGGGCTTAGAAACCGGATCATGGGGGCAGAGTATACTAAGTACTTTTTGAGGAGGTGGATGTGTGGAAACCCAGGGTGCCAGTTTGTTAATCCACACCGAGGACCCTGTCTGCCGGAGAGGTGGGAATACTCGTGTGATTTCTCTCTCCCTGCCTTTGGAAGCCACATCCTAATCTGAAGGTTGTCTGGTGAGCGTTGTCAGAGTGAGGGCAGTTAAGTGGATAAAGGAGAGAAAAATTGCGTGTCAGTGCCGTCTGGTTATGCATTTGGAAATTTTGAACTTTGCGCCTGTTGCCTGGCCGGGCACTGCCCGGGTTTGTCTCTTACATGTTTTGTTTATTGTTGTTGTTTGTATTGTTATTGTCTTTTCCTTGGCCGACCAAACCTCATTCTGATTTGAATCATCCTTTCTTAAAATTCCTTAGAACTTACGAATTGGCCCAGGTCACATCCTGCCCCACCCCAACCTTGGGAAAATTTAAAGTAACTCTTCATACCTCTGACATGACCTATGATTGCTGATTTATAATTTACCTCTGAGCAGGTTTTCAGTTTCCTTCATTTCTGGGTTTCTAGTAGACTTCTCACTGAGTCCTTCCAGTACTGATAATATGTAAACCGATTGTTTTACCCTGCCATTGCTCAGTTTCCTCATCTGTGTAAGGTACCAGATGAATTAGCTAACCGCTAAGGTAACTTCCAATGCTAAATTTCTACCTTCAAGTTTCAAGAGATTTTCCTCTTTTTTTTTTAACTGCAGTATAGTTGATATACAATATTTCAGGTGTACAGCATAAGTGATTCAGTGTTTTTAGCTTATACGCTATCAAAAGATATTACAAGACAATGGCTATAATTCCCTGTGCTCTACCATACATTCTTGTTCTTACTATTTTACACATAGTAGTTTATATCTCTTAATCCCCATACCCCTAACATTCCCCTCCCCACTTCCTTCTCCCAGCTGGTAACCCCTCTAAAAAATAATACAAAGGAACGTATATAGCAAAACAGAAACAGACTCACAGAGATTTTCCTTTTAATGAAAAAATTTTGTGATTTGGTGAAGCTTAGCTTTGCTGCATCAGATGGCATGATTCCTTAACAAGTCCCCCCTGGCTGGTTGGCATCAAATAAGGCTAACACCTTTCCTTGGCTTTTATTTAAAGAACAAATCTGGACTCAGTCCACCATGAGTTTGAATTGCCGCTCTGTCCTCAGAGTGCTTCTTTGGAAAAATCATATAACCTTTCATATTTTACTTGAGGCTTCTAAAATGATTTTCTAATTCTCTTTTCCATCAGTAATTTATTAACTGGAATTCTTCTGTAGTGAAGAACTTTGTCTTATCAACTGTTTGGCTTAAGTATGGTTAGTAAAGGAAACGCAGGATAAATGCTTTCTTCTTTCCTTTTATTTATCATTTTCTTAATAATGAATTGGTATTTTATCAGCCTCCAGCAGTGATATGAGTGTTTTTATCTTTTGAGCTCAGAATTTTAAAATATAGTTTGTATGTATCAGCAGATGTAATCCATATCTATATAATCGATATAAGTTAATACAATCAATATTGTTTCTGATGAAATTGACATGAAGCCTGGGATTTGCTTTAAACTACTCTGACACCTAAAAAGCAAACCGGCAGAAAAGGGAGTGGAATAGGTGAATATTGGAAAGGTTTTTTTTTTCAGCTTTTTTGGGAAGATCTTTATTTAGTGAAGCTGGGTGGTAGGTACATCAAGTCCATTGTAATATTCTTTTCACTTTTAGTATGGTTGAAATTTTCCCAGATAAAATAGCTCTAAAAACATACATAATTTTAAGGTTATCAGAGGTGTAAATCTGAGTTCAGTCTTTAACTCTGGCCTATACATGAATACTGTGGAAAAAGATTCTTCGATGTTTATTGAAATGCCAGATATCACAACAGTTTCTAATCCTCATGCCACTGACAACAGCATGCCAATTATGTGCATATTTTCCAGGACTTTGGAAGAATTTTAGTATTTAACTTTATTGGATCTGTTTATAAAACTCTTGTCACAATAACTGAGGCTGTCCACTTTTGAATGAAACAATGTTCAGGAGATAATATAATGTGAAAATCAATTGGTATCACAGTTCTTATATTACTAGCATCCCTTAAGAATTTGAAACAAAGTTACTTAATGCTCTCTGGATTTTATGCCAGAAAATAATTTGGCATTTTAGCCATTCTGCACTGACTTCTTCAATATAATGGTGCTATTTCTTATTCCAGGTTTAAGTTTATCTATTCATGGGGCTGAAAAGCGTTTGCAAATCCACCAACGGCGAAGTGTGGCGAGCCACCCAGGGTCACGTCGCCTGCCCGTGGTCAGGCATTCCTCACTCCCACCAGGCAGAAGGTCAATAAAAATGGAGGCAAGGTCTTCTGGAATCACTAATGGGGAAACCAAAGTCTTCCACCCAGGTAATGCATGGGGAAGGGTCAACAGGGACCTGTGTTAGCAGCAGGCTGACACAGCCTGAATTATATTTTTATTGTCTAACTCTTCTATGCTTCCAGTTAAGCTTGGTTTTTCTTTTTTTTAAACATCTTTACTGGAATATAATTGCTTTACAATGGTGTGTTAGTTTCTGCTTTATAACAAAGTGAATCAGTTATACATGTACATATGTTCCCATATCTCTTCCCTCTTGCGTCTCCCTCCCTCCCACCCTCCCTATCCCACCCCTCCAGGCGGTCACAAACCACAGAGCTGATCTCCCTGTGCTATGCGGCTGCTTCCCACTACCAAACATAAAATAGAAAGCTTGTTTTTTAAAAAGAGTCTTGGGGTTTTTTTTCCTCTCTCTCTCTCTTCACTTCAGTCAGTGGTAAATGTCACCAAGACCAATAAGAGGGAAGAGAGCTTGATGTGTCAGAAAAGGTTAAGGCAACATTCCACTTACAGTGGGAGAATCTAAATGAAAAACTTCAGTGAATAAACTTGCTCAGTTCAAAGAAGCTTATTGTATAATAAAATAATACAGAGATTTGGCCAGTTTCTTGATAATTTGCTCTAAGACAGCTCGGGGAAAAAGTCAAGCTGAAAATGTCCGCTTTGAAGCCTCAGTTATGTGGCTTGACTTGCCTGTATTTCCTCCTCAGGTGAGGGAGAGGACTAAAGTCATATGAAGTTTCAAGGCTCTGAGAAGCATCTGTGATCTCTGAAAAGTGTTAAAATGAGTGTATATCAAAGTTGGTAATTACAACTAAAAGTATTTGGGTGAGAGGCTCATTTAAGTATTCATTCGTTCAACAAAGGTATTGAGTGCATACTATATGCCAGGCATTGTTTTGGGTGCTGAGGAAAAACAAGTGAACACTGTCTTTCTGACTCACAGGAACATCAAACTGTGAGGAAATTCTGTAGTCACTTAGTATAAGTCTCACCCAATCCTGATTTCTCTGTGTAATGTCCTTGCAGGTGGCCGCCCAACCTCAACTAAAGTCAAGTTTCCTGCTCTAGCCATGTCATCTTCTTTCGCTCAGCTGATAACCTTGTTTCCTAACCTCATGGAGAAACCCACAAGCCACTGGGCCTGAATGACTGCAGGTCCCTTACCCTGCATCTCCACGTATATCTCTGTTTACTCCCATCCTTCACCCTTTTCCTCTGGTTTTTAAAAGATGAGGGTCTTCCCACTGTCCTTGACCAAGCTTTCACCTGTATCCTTGGCCACACTTTTCCTCTCTTGGACCTTGCCCTTTCCCCTCATTCTGTGAAGAAGGCTAAAGCTTCTCTCGTTCTAATCATCTTCATTTGACACCGCATCCTTTTCTCTCTTCCGCCACTTCTCCCTCCCTTCTGAGCCAGACTTCTGAAAGAGTCATCTGCTTGGCTTGGCTCTACTCTGCCTTCCCAGCCACTCTTCAACCCAACACTGTCGGGTTTCTGCCTCCTCCTCTCCATCATGGCGGTTCTTGAGGCCCTTAGTGACCCCCTTTTACCATAATGTGGCGAGTAGCAGACTCTTCTGATGCACCCGACCAGGATGGACCACGACTTCTTCCCAAAGCACTTCTCTGACTTCCATGACTTCTGATGGCCTTCTTTCTTGGTTCTCATCTCACGTCTCTCACAGGTAACTCTTAACAGTTCCCCAACCTCCAGCATCTCTCTCATCCTCTTGCCTCCTGTCATAGTGTATCCTTTACCCCAAATGCAGAATGATTCATTTCCACCCCTGATCATGCCATTCATCTTGCTTGTCCTACTCGTTCTAGGGCAAAGGCCAAACCTCTTAGCAAGTTAAAAACAAATGCCCATCATGATCTGGCCCCTAGTGCTTCTCATCCTTTTTTTGCCCCATTCTGCCTTAAACTTTATACTCTAATGTGTCAGCTGGGGTTCAACCAGAAAAGCAGGGCCAGTAGAAGATTTATACTAGAGATTTATTAAAAAGAATTGAATTACATGATTGTGAGGGCTGTCTAGGCCAGTCTGAAATCCATAGGGCAGGCTGTTAGGAAGGGCAGGCTGGTACTCTTGGGCACAGTGGAGGTCACTGTCTACAGGTGGAATTTCTTCTTCAGGACAGCCTTAGCTCTGGTTTTAAGACCTTTTGGCTGATTGAATCAGCACCTCAACCCTCTTGTCTAGGATAATCTCCATTATTTAAAGTAACCGATTATGGACTTGTAAAACACCTTCACAGCAGCATCCGGATTAGTGTTCACCGAGTAACTGGGGACTCTAGTCCAGCCAAGTTGGCACATCAACTAGACCATGACGTCTGATCAGACTGACTTGCTTTCAGCTCTCCAGACACATGATGCTATGTCATATCTCTCAACCTTTGCTCATGCTGCTTGCTCTAGGATACCCTGGTTTTGCTCCGTAATCTTTTAATATTCTGAAATCATCTGTCTCTCCACCATAAGGTCTTTAAAGGCATGGATTCTGGGATATTTATCTTGTACCTCCATTAAATAATTTGTAGGGTAGGACTGAACTGACCCTTCATTAGCTGTTTTTCAGACTATTATTATAGAGTTCCTTAAATTTTTTTCTAGGTTTATTAGGGTATAATTGACAAATTACAATCGCATTCTAATTGCTCTACCTGCCTTTCAGCAAATATTTATTGAGGGCCACTTTGGTTGCCAAGCATTCTTCAAGTACTTGGAATACATCAGTGAATGAAACAAAGATCCCTGCCCCTGGAGAGTTAACATATTACGTGGGGGAGATAGGTAATATATAAACATAATAAACAGTGTTTAGGAAGAAAAATATTACGGATAAAAGAAAAAGTAGGGGAAATCAGGTGGTAGGGTTGCATGTTGCAATTTTAAATAAGGTGGTCAGCATGTAGACCACATTGTGGAGGAGATGTGTGATCAAGGGCTAGAAGGAGCTGAGAGGGCCGCTGAGATGGGCAAGTTCATCCCAGCAGAGGGATAGCTAGTTGACAGGCCCTACGATAGGAATGAGTCTGGCAGTTTGAGGAAAAGCACGGAGACCCCTGAGCTTGGAGTGAGAAGGAAACATCAGCTCAGTGAGGTCAGAGGGACCAGATGGGGCAGGGCCTTGCAGGCCATGTAAGGACTTTGAGCCCTATATGAAATGGGAGCTTTTAAGGGGTTTTGAGCAGAAGAATCCCATGATCTGACTTATTTTTTAACAGGATCACTTTAGCTGTTATTTGAGGATAGACTATAGGGGTAGAGGGTGAAAGGAGGAAGGTCAGATAGGAGGCCACCATAATAATCAAGTCAAGACATGATGGTAGCTCTTACTAGGGGTAGAAAAAGGCACATGAAAAGTGTTAAACATCACTAATTATTAGAGAAATGCAAATCAAAACTACAGTGAGGTGTCACCTCACACCAGTCAGAATGGCCTTCATAAAAAACTCTACAAACAATAAATGCTGGAGAGGGTGTGGAGAAAAGGAAACACTCTTGCACTGTTGGTGGGAATGTAAATTGATACAACCACTATGGAAAAAAGTATGAAGATTCCTTAAAAAACTAAAAATAGAACTACTATATGACTAGTAATTCTACTACTGGGCATATACCCAGAGAAAACCATAATTCAAAAAGGCACATGCATGCAAGCACTATTTACAATAGCCAGGACATGGAAGCAACCTAAATGTCCATTGACAGATGAATGAATAAAGAAGATGTGGTACATATATATATAATGGAATATTACTTAGCCACTAAAAGGAACAAAACTGGGTCATTTGTAGAGATGTGGATGGACCTAGACACTATCATACAGAGTGAAGTAAGTCAGAAAGGGAAAAAAAAAAATTGTATATTAACATACATATGTGGAATCTAAAAAAATGGTATAGATGATCTTATTTGCAAAGCAGAAATAGAGACACAGACGTAGAGAACAAACGTATGGATGCCAAGCGGGGAGTGGGATGAATTGGGAGACGGGGATTGACATATATACAATATTGATATTATGTATAAAATAGATAACTAAGGAGAACCTACTGTAAAGCACAGGGAACTCTACTCAGTGCTCTGCGGTGACCTAAATGGGAAGGAACTCCAAAAAAGAGGGGATATATGTATACGTATAGCTGATTCACTTTGCTGCACAGTAAAAATTAACACAACATTGTAAAGCAACTATACTCCAATAAAAATTTAAAAGTAAAATAAAGTTGGGCCACAGAGTTTCAATGGATTAGACGTGAGATAAGAGAGAAAGGAGAGCTAAGTGTGACTATATGGTTTTTGACTTGAGTAAATGGGTTTGGTATCAACTGAGATGGAGAAGGCTGAAGGCAAAGCAGACTTAGTGGATTTGAGGGCAGAAGTGGGGTCAGGATCGGAAGTCTGTGGGCAACTGGAGAGATCACGTGGGTGGTGGGATAAACGTATTTGGAGTTTGAGAGATTGGTATAAAATCGACTGTTGTTGACAAGTAAATGACAAGTAAATCATCTTTTTTTTTTTTTTTTTTTTTTTTTGGGA